ATATAGAAAACTTTTAAATCTTCATAAAATGTGACCTGACCAACCCTGACAACGACAGGACCAAATGAAAATGCTCATTACTTTTTTATTTCTTAAAGGATTTATGTTAAATTTGAAATATAATAAAATTTGATCATTTAATATATAACTATATGAAAAAATATAGAAAAAAATATTAAAAAATTCCGAAAAATTCCGAAAACGTGACCCTTCTAACGTTGACAATGACCTGAACAACAACAGCAATGACCTAACCGATGAAAATTTCTGTGTTATTTTATATTATTAAAAAAGGGGGGGGATATATGTTTTTGGGTAAAAAAAAACTTGACCTGACCAACGTTGACTGTGTCCTGATCGTTTTACTACCTAATACTTATTTATATCTTATAAGATATATAAAAAAAAAACCATTAAGATTGAATGGTAAAGTCTTTATCGAATAATAAAAAAAACCTGGAAAAACAGTTTAGGGTACTGTGACGGGCACCAGGTTATTCAAACTTTTTATGGTATTGAGTAGTATATTGTATTTTACTGTGTTGTAAATTATGTTGTATATTACCGGTTATAATTTGACACGTTTGATCACAAATATAAAGTAACACACAAAAGGTGTGAAGTAGGCCAAAAATACATGTAAGTTGATAAATCCAATATAATTGTTTTTTAATACTTTCATAACCGTAAATAATTATTTCCACGTACAACTTAAGGCATGCCCGAGCCTTGTGTAGGATATCTTGGTAGTTTTAAATATTTTCATAAAAAAATAAACATTTCGCGGACTACTTGAGGTATGCCCGAGCCCCTGCATGCACGATATCTTGGTAGTTTAAAATATTTTAATAAAATATAAGTAAACATATTCAACGACTTAACTTGAGGTATGCCAAATGTTCTCGAAAGTCAATACATTTATCGTTTGCTAATATGTTTGAAAAGCATTTTATATTTTCTTATTTGATAAAATTAATGGTTCAATCTAAGTGTTTCTATAAATTTGATGCAAAGCCTATTACATATAAATAGGTATTAAGTCATTTTTCCTGGTCATGATAACGGTCAGAATATAGGACAGAAAGTCACAGACAAAAAGCCAAGGACAAAAAGTCACATATATTATATGTTATAAACATTGAGTCCTGTTTAAAAGTAAAATCTAATTTTTTTTTGTTAAAAGAAAGACAATATACTAATTTTGAGAAACATCTTTCTGTAATGGACTTTCAGCATGTTCAGTGAAAATCCAGTTATATGTACATGTATATAATTCTTTTAAAGTTACCCTTTCACGGTAAAGATTTATCATAATTTATGGTCAATATTTTTTAATTTGCTGCTAAAAATCCATAAAGATAATTGTTGTTTTCTCAAATTTCAATAATCCAATGCCTAATACTAATGTTAAGATAGTGCTACCATAGGCGGATCCAGGGGCCCTAAGGGCCCGTCCCCTCCTTATTTATTGGAAATATTTTGTTGATTTCACATGGAATCACTGAAGCATAAATGTAGCGGGCCATCGCTTGAGGCATTCAGTGGGTCCCCTTATGTGAAAATTGTTCAGATGGTATATTTCCCCCCACTGCTCGTTTTAAGACCCGCAGCCACCATCTGACAGATTTTCCGCGGGTCCTCGTAGGGAAACGATTCTTTTTGGAAAATCTCGAAAATTCCTCCCCGGCCACGGATTGATAGCAGGGACCATCGGGTCAACGGCCGACAGTACCCTCCCTTGTTGGTTACGCCCTTTGTTTGCTAAAGAACCCTTGTGTTAATTGATCCCGATTTCCAGTGATATTTCAAATTGTCCGCCTTCATCCCAGCCTATCCATATTGCCGGACCTTTTTGAAATTGTCTATTTTTTTCAACTTCACCTTAAAAATGATCTTCATGTAGATACTCATCATCCAATAATACAATAATATTCAAAACGTATAGCTATACATGCTTTGCCATTTCAACATTGAGTTTAATAATGAATAAAAAAAATAAACAGCTCATAATATATGTATTTTTTTCCTTTATAGAAAGAAAAGTTAGATTGTATATTATCATTTACTTAGAGGACCAACGTCTGACTCTTTTTGTTCTAAATTATTATTGTGTTGACGAGTATCAAATTATTGCCTTTAATTAATTTTGGGTCAGTAAACTAGCACTGGACCAACAATGTTCCTTTTAAATTTATTGATTTTGTTCTCTTCTGAAATATGCATGAGATATTTGACACTGGACACAAAGCAAACCATAACTAATCGATCATTTCATTTTTACAAAATCTTACCCTCCCCCCCCCCCCCCCCCCCCCCGCAAAGATATTGATTATTTTCATTTGTGATAATGATAAGTATTTATTTCTGTGCCTCACACAAACAATTTTAAGCTTGGCCTTTCTTGAACTGTTAATGTTCTGATTATATCTTCTTAATCTTATGTATAAATAGTTAGGAGCTAGAAGCTAAAATTCCAAACTGTCAACACCAAGTGGCACTTTGATCTTTAATCTTCACTACAGCATTTGAATACTAGTTGATGGACTGACTTGTAAAAGCCATCATTCTTTGACACTGCATTAAATTGAAAACTTACAGAAGAGAGTTTTTGTATGAGAGATTTAATCTATTTTCAAGCGTTTTCCAAGTTTATGCATATACATGTAATTTGTTGTTTCTATGGCAACACTATCACTAATAATGCCTGGAATATTTTTAATATTTCTCAAATACAAGAAAACCTGCTTATGTAAGCAAAACTGTATACATTCATTGTTATATGTATCGAAGTTCATTAAAACGCATTTGTAAAAATAGTACTTATCCGTATTTTTGCAAATGAACTACTTGTTTCCATGACAACACATTCAATGGCAAATATTGTACAATTGAATATGTAATTTTTTAAATGATTTTATTTGTTTTTTTCTAGATTGAGTAATTGTTTTTATTGTATATTTTTCATGATCATGAAAACAGACTGAAATTTCTTTATAATCAGCACTTTTATTTAGAATAGAGAAATTGTGTTTGTTTCCTTCAAATGGTAACACCATTATCGAAATAATATACTAGCAAAATCATTTATATATACACATGTGTGTATACAGTGAAACTTAATAAGTGTTTTAGTTTTCCTACTTTTGTCATATTTAAGAAACTAACTGAAACTTTTTTCTAAATTGTTTTAAACTTGTGTATCAAAATGAAATTGTTTCATTAGCAACAGAGTTAAAACTATAATACCGTTATATATGAATATGTTTAAAATTTTGATGATTACAATAATTTCTACATATTGTATATTTATTAATTTTTTTCTGACTGCAGACTTAGGTTTTAAAACATTTTTTTTCAAAATTTAAAAAATAAAAATTTTTCTGAAAAAATGAAAACTAAGCATTTTGTATCCATGGTAACAAAATATTGAGACATACTTCCCCATTACTTTTTCGCATCATTGATAAAATAAGACTATGATATTTATGAATTCATGGTTGACTGTAACTCAGGTGTCCGCAAACAATTATGGTGAGCATTCAAAAATGACCTCAAAAGGGTATTTTTTACCTAATGCAAACCACATAAAAAGGGGGGTATATGTGATAATGATTGAAATGGAATATGAAAATATCAGTTATTAAATTACATTTATAAAATGCATATATTTAATGAAATCATAAAACAATATTCATTCTCTTAATTATTTATTATGAAAAATTATGTTGAAAATAGCCTTTTTCAGCTTAAAATCATAGATATTCAGAAGAGGTAAAACTGGTCATCGGTTGCTATGGCAACCGATATGCGTAGCAACCAAATTTTTTCCATTTTTTGTTTGTTTCATCAAGACTAGTAAGTGTGTGAAGTTTAAGGAAAATCCATGACCATGCGTGCCACACTCCCTATATAAGAGTTTAAATTGTTACAGAGAACCAGTATTTAAAATCATTTAAAAAAAGTTATTCTTAAAGGATATCAATTTTAAAACACCTCAGCAAGATCTTGGAATATTGTTTTAATCGGTACTTGCATTGATTTTGTTTTTATCTTATTATGAAACTCTCTTCCGAAAGCCTAAATCTAATTTTAAAATTACAATTGAATACGAATTATTTCCCTTGTTTGGAAGTATACTGGTTCGATGCAGTGCAGAGCAATGGGGGAGAAGTAAAATACATGTAGAAAACAATGTATTAATTTGATATACAAACATTTTCAGCTTTATAATCGAGTTTAATTACAAGTATTTTGGAAGACAAAATACCATAATAATTTGTATTCTAATATAAACCAAATAATATCTGATATACAACAGAGGTTAAAAAAAACACAAATCGTTGACTCTTCATTGAGTTTCATTGCCGCAGTTCTACTTCCCGACTATGGAAATAAATTACTTCAAATTATAAATTTAGAGTAAAATTCATGATTCTGGAAATGAGTTTCTGGCATGGGCTATGCAGCTATGGACACTTATAGTTGTCATTGGCTTTGAATTATCTTTCAGTAGCTGCGAGTACTATTAGATCGTAACTTTGTGTCGTTAGTTTTTGTGCTTCGTGCCAATCTGACGAGTCAAGCCATTTCCAACTGATTTTTATAGTTTGTTTTTATGTTGTGCTGCTACGCCATTATCCCAGGTTAGGGTAGGGTTGAGCGCTCACAAACATGTGTAACCGCGCCACATTCTGTATGTATTCCTGTCCGGTAACCTATAATTCAGTGGTTATCGTTGATTGATGTCTGTCATATTTGTTTAATTCCACGTAATTCGGACTTTGATAGTAGATTGTCTTATTGGCAACTATACCACATCTCCTTATTTTTTATCCTGGTCTGGTAAGATTGAACTGAAAAAAATAATTTTGCACAAGACAGGGTGAAAATGAATATTCTGGCTTTCAAAATGCAGGAAATAATTGTGTTCAAAAATTATTTAAATTTTCGTGTGTAAAGTAATGGTACACAGTTTTCGGTGTCAATGATACAATGTTTTGAAAGAATATTTAATCACCAGTATAGAAATCGGCATTCAGCGATTCTATATCCAAATGAACTTGCCCAGGAGCATGCGCACCATCTATCATGCACAGTATTCCATGTTCTTTGCACAGCATCACTAATTTTTCAACGGGCATTTTAAGCCCAGAAAAACAGATTATGTGGTCTGTAAGAAATAAATATTTATTGTTTCGGTAACATGATTGTATAACTAGATTAATTCCGCTCGATATGTGTGTACTTCAAGAAATCCGAATGGGATTAACGCTTACTTTTACAAAAGTCGTTATATCGAGTATTTCATTGTGAGAAGAGTTGATATTACGTGAAATGAAAGTGTTACGCAATGTATTACGGGGACTGCTAATATTTCGAAGGTTATCAGTATCAATTAGATAAGGTTCAATAGTTCAGAGTATTAGCTGTTTGATTGAGGTTCGTGGTTCCAATGCTCAGTTATTCGCGAATTCTTTATTCTGAAAGTAACTGCGTGTGTATATTTTTTTTCATGTGCGAGACATAGGGGTGCTAATCCGGCGGCGACGACAACGACGGCGTTAAATATTTGTATAAAGTTTGATATTTCTCTCTGGCAGGTTCATCTGACCTTGATCTCTTTTTCATTGTTTAAAAATCCTCGTTAAGGTTTTGTAGTTAGGTCTGTTGCTCAGACATTATAAGCAATATAAGACTTTATTTGGTGTATGGTGTACATGTCCGTCTGGCAGTGTTCTTTAAATCTTAACAACATGTTCAGTGTTCACTTTTCTATGTTATGTCTGTTTCTCAGATTATATAAGCAAAATGTTAACTATATTTGGTGTATGAAATGATTATTTGGCGGACACCTGACCTTCACTTCATTTACATGGATCATTTATAATGCCGATTTTTGTGGTAAACCATAACCTTTTTCTTAAAACTTTCAACATAAATTCAATCATGATCAGTTAAGCATTCATGTGTACTCTTGTTTGTGCTATATACAATTATGGTCCAGTTACAACAAATGCTCTAGTACTTCAAATATATTTATATAGTGCATGGAATAATCACTCACCAATAAGTACAAGTCGTATGTTTGGATTTTTCTCGAAATATTCTGCGTATTGTTTTACGATCTCTTTATCTGTTTGAACTGGATACTTTAGATGCAGACATTCTGATCGTATGTCTGAAATGACAGCTAATACGTTAAAGAAACGATCGAAATTATGCATTTTCTAAGTAGATTTCTAGTTCGTGAAATTTTAAATTCTTTTAGAACTAAGGTTGAAATTCCCTCAGGCAAAATTTCTCTCAGACGGTTTTTGCTGTTTTTGGTTTTTATGCTCTCAAATGTATATTTATAGCTTTCAAAATTTTTGACCACGAGCGTGTTTGATGAAGAATATACCAGAACATGTGTTGTGCGCATAAAAGTCCTATTAATTTTTTTTTACTACCACTGGGTCAGTGCCGCTGATGGAAGACAATTATTTCCCGGTAACCGAGGGTATCATCCGTCCAGTAGCCATCGTGTCGGCATGATTTAGATGATACATTTTGTATCTAAATTTCCAGTTGATAAATAATGTAATTGTGCTAAAACTCAGGCTGCAACTCCATAAGCCAGAGTTGGTCTTGAGTTTTTACATCAGGCTGTCCAATCTCCATAAGCCAGTGTTGGTCTTGAGTTTTTACATCAGGCTGTCTAATCTCCATAAGCCAGAGTTGGTCTTGAGTTTTTACATCAGGCTGTCCAATCTCCATAAGCCAGAGTTGGTCTTGAGTTTTTACATCAGGCTGTCCAATTCAGGCTCTTTCACGGATTTGTATTTTCTCTAACGTTTTATAGTTTTGGCTTTCGAAATTTGTGGTCAGGTGCGTACCTGTTAAAATTTATTCCAGAAACATGAGAATCCTATAGTTGGGTTTAAATATCACATGGTCGAATGCCATGTCAGTTTTTTGCCATCACTTGGCGGCAGACGTCCTCCATCGTTCGTCCGTTAAGTTTTCATATGTGTATCTTTTTCTTGAGAACAACTGAAAAGGATAAAACTAAATATTATAGAGATGTCCCTTACACGATCCGTTCTAAGTTTTGTTACTTTTGTGCCGATTTGTCAATAAGTATGTCAGAAATAACATTTTCTTGTTTCTGATTGGCTGAACTTAGGAAAACTCATACATGTATATACTTTTAATATTGTCACTCCGGCATGGCTATTATGTAGGCTAGGTATTCACTGTCTCAGACTTCTGTTGTACTGTGGGTAATATTTTCAAAAATGTTCACCACAAAATTGTGATTTACTACAATGTTCTAGACCACTGATAACAAATAATTACATAATGCTATTTTCTTTTTGGTGGACGAACAAAAACATACCAACAGTCCTTTAGATTGTTTGTACTTAATTTATTACAGGCACTTGTTTCTATATTGAAACCAAAGCAGTGAATTTTACAGCACTGGTGATTGTCTGGTACAATGAAGATTATTTTTTCCCTCTGAACAGTGTTAAGAGGTTAGAAATATTGTTGCAAAATATATTTTGTTCCCCAGTTTTCCTCGTTCTGTACTGGCATACTTGATATTAAAATATAAAGTGGTGACAATCAAAGTACACAAAACTTACCAGAAAAACGAGCGGTGGCCTGACATGCCTTTTGCACCCCAGGGTATGACTGGTTTGTGTATAGTATGATATCATCGGGTCTGAATCTAATAGAGCGTAATATGGTATTGACACCTACGATATACAATATATATATATATATATGTATAAACAAAGTTTGCGTGCAAAAAAATGTTTATACAACATGAAAAATACCTTTATTTAGTTAATTATCTATTTCAATTTGATAATTCTAATAAAAGTCTCAACAGACACCACAAGATGAATAAAAAGCGTAGGATCTGATATCGTACACGTTTTATAAGAATTTTTGCTATTATCAGTTTTGAATTTTAAGACTAGTGTCCAGCTATCCCGGAATTCGCCACACGCAACCGCATTTGGAAAACTACTGCAGTAGCTATTTTCTTTTTTCAAAATGATGTTTTTAGTAAAAAAAAATATTAACTCGTATAGCAACCTTTTGGTCTCGATAACTATTTTATATCACACTGTTTCCCCTTTTTTATGTTCAATGCTGCTTTTGAGTTGTATCGACTTTTCAATGTCCTCAATTTCTCTTTTGTTATCTTTTAGATTGATGAACTGATTGTCGTTTGCTTAATATTGCATGCTGATTCGAGACGAAAACAAATCAACAATAAATCGTAGGTAGATTCTGCAAAGGGGGCCGGGAATGAAAGGCGAGAATGTCTTTTTACAACTGGAAAACGAGTATTGTTGTTTTTTCCTTACAACGAACAACCTATACTTGTCCTTGGTACACTGATTCTTACGAGTGCGTGGCCCCTCCCCTCACAAATCATCGGATTTTAAGTCCCATTCCAACCGGCAGTTGGTGGGAATGTAGATATACCATACACCAAAACGGACGTCACACTTTTGTGTTGGTTATTTCCGGCTAGGAGAAGTCAAGGGATAACCGTATATTATACCTCTGTCATCCCTTGGTGGTTTTTTTATATCTTTTTAATCACATTTTATTTGAGAGCAATTCAGTAGATTGTTGAGGTCGTTTGAATAATATTTTATTGAAGTTATTCCAGCCTTTTTATCCAATGTACACTTCAACTCATCTGAAGCTCTTACTTATTATGATAAAAACTGCATGATTCATCGGGTTCACAATTAAACATTTTTGCATGAGATGTCGTTCAATGTCTTTGGTAATGATACTAAGATCATTCTATTTGCTTGGGTAAAATGCACTTAGTAATTCCAATTCCTAAATTTCTCCCATTCAGTAAGTTCAAAACTACTTTTAAAAAATCATTTTATTTAACGAATTTGTTTTTCACCCAGAGTGATACTTTACTGCTGTAATTTATTTCAACCATACACCTTCAAAAAAGTGTCCTTGGTTGGTTTAAATAGGATGTAAATCGATTTTATTTTATAAGATATCAGGCCAAAACTGTAAAATTTCTATTGTTTTCATTGAAAGTTACCTTATTTACGCGATCAAAATACATCTTCCGTACAAAACTATGAACTACTAACTAAAATAAGCAGCAGAGTTTAAGATTTTTGATTGGGCAATGCAAACAATTGAATTTATTGCCGAATGTTCCATTTTTTAATAACAGACCATGCTTGAAGTGAGATTTAGTCATAAACCATAATACTAAAAGAGAATCTTCAATATATTACGGAACTGTTTTGTTGCAATTGGTCCTCAGGCTTCTTATGATTTTTTCAGAATTTGGTTGAATTTTTTCTGTAAAAATTTCTATTTTAGTTACGATGAAGGCAATGTTTGAAGGCGATTATGGTCATCAACCATAATCCTTAAAGGAAGTCAAAAATGTATTGCTGCTCCTTAATTTGAGAAATAATGTATTTTTGGCAAGGTATGTAACTGTGATTTGTTGATTTTTTTTCTGATTCACTTTGACCAAAGTCTATTTGGTTGACACGCAAAAATTGATAGTACCTATCTCATACACATACACAGACATTTTACCTGTTGTTACATTATCAACAAATACAAGATCTTCTGGATTAGCATTAACGAAGTTAGCTATGGCATTTCTTGCTGCAATCCACTTTTTCTTTCTTGTATGACGAAACCATTTCTCTGGGTGTCTGTCTATTTCATCTAAGATTCTGTCGTTGAATTTATACCATACATCAGTAATAAATATAAACGGAGACTTAAAGTTTGTTTTTTAATACTAAGAACTACGTTATTTTAATTTCTTTATATTCAATGAATTCGTCCAAGTCGCCACAGCAATGTAAACATGATGTCACGATCTTATATTTCAATGGTATCGTTATCACGTGTGTGTATATACACTGTGCAAGAAATAAGGATATACTGTATGAAAACCTAACAAACACAAAAAGGACTATTAGGACAGGAAAATAAACTTTAAAAATATAAGTCATGACTTCAACTCAACTTTGATACTATTCCGCAATTCTACCCATTTTTTTCTAGCCCGTAATTAATCATTGTAATTTAATATATGAACCGTCTACAAAATTGTGTTTCTTCCTAAGCATTGAACATTTATACAAATAGTTCAAAATGAAAGAAAATGCATGCAGTAACTACATTACAGCAACCCAACTACATAAGGTCTTTATATGGTCCAACAGTAGACAACTGTCCGCTACATAATGTCATTATATCATTTCAATTGCAAAAAGGATCTTTAGAAATGTACTGTTATTGAATTATTGTCCTCCCGAACACTAATCCGCAAATAGTTTTTCCGTATGCATTGACCTAAACCCCGAGATTATGGATGCCTAATAAATGTAAAAAACTCGTACATAGAGGACTTATTTTAGTGTATATTCATTGGTTCAATAATTTCCTTAACATTATAATTTCAAGTAACTCGTTCCATATTACTTGGAAAAGATTTATCATTGTACTGGTTTTTTTTTTCTCGAAACATATTGTATCTACCCGAGAACCATCAAAACGATATGGTCTGTAAGGAATCCCTGTTGTGGAGAATTGGACCTCATTTGAACATGCTGCTGATAATAGATCTCATGGATACTTTAATTTTTCTAGTCTGTTGTACCTTTTTGGGTACAGCTCCTTGGGCTCCGTGATGTATAAAACAATAATCTTCTTCAAGTGTGAACTCTTTCTGACGCATATCTTTTCCTTTCCAAATGAAGCCATTGTCATTGTTTAAATAAAATGCATTTTGCATTGCTTTGATATTGTTTATTTTTTATAATTCTGAAGTTATAAATAACATTAATTATCAATTTTACTGCACTGGTAAATTTAAAACTTATTTAAATATTTTTTGTTTGTTTCGAAATTCAACTTTTATTCAGTTTCAATCATTAATCTTTTCAAGCTGAAAATTTACTTTGGGGCATTTGTAACTCATTTATAGAAATTCTTTTTTAACTGTAAGCAGGCCTTAACAGTAGGATAATCCCTTACTAAGAACAGGATTTACATTCATTCTTCACAATTAAGGAACACCAAATCCTATAATTCCATTGGTCGAGAGCACTTTGCTATATTCTAAAAAATTATTTTCCTCCTAAGCATTGAACATTTATACAAATTGTTCAGAATGAAAGAAAATGTATACAGTAATTACATTACAGCAATCCAACGACTTAGACAATCAAATGGCATCTCAATGTCTTCATATGGTCCAATAGTATACAACGGTCCGCTACATTATATCAATATAATACTTCCATGATTATATCAATTGCATTTACGATATAATAATATACTGTGGCCTTTAAAACAATTTTAAGTTTTTAACTCTTTCACAAAACCACTTCGTAATGTTCAATCCTGTTTTATGAAAAAACGATATCCCCTATGCTATCTCGTTTCAACACGGGATGTATAATTAATATGTTTTCTTGAAATACATTTCTTATATATTAAAGTTAAATGATAATTCTTAGAAAAAAAAAGTTGAAAATGTTTTATATGCTTTAAAGGCTATGTTTAACTATAAAACACGTGTGCATATGGACTCTCTTTTAAAAAAAATAATTTATCTTATCAAAATCTTTAGAAATCTACTGCTATTGCATTATTGTCCTCCCGAACACTAATCCGCAAATAGTTTTTCCGTATGCATTGACCTAAACCCCGAGATTATGGATGCCTAATAAATGTAAAAAAACTCGTACATAGAGGACTTATTTTAGTGTATATTCATTGGTTCAATAATTTCCTTAACATAATAATTTCAAGTAACTCGCTCCATATTACTTGGAAAAGATTTATCGTTGTACTGTTTTTTTTTCTCGAAATATATTGTATCTACCCGAGAACCATCAAAACGATATGGTCTGTAAGGAATCCATGTTGTGGAGAATCGGACCTCATTGCGTAAACCCCTGAGGGTTTACGCAGTATATATTGGACGATGTCCGTAGTCTTTCGGAACACCGGATGTTATTCGGAATACATCTGTTTCTTTCTATGGCCACCTTTCATATACATGCGCAATAGCTTATTATTTGACCTGTTGAATCATTAGCAACTTAAAGTTGCTATAGAGATATGTTACATATGATGCGAAATTTATTATGACGCAAGCTACTCTAATAAGCATTTGAATACTTACTTGCACGCAATTACAAGCTGCTAATATTTACCTTACATATGCGCGTAGTTATTCTAATTAGAGTCAAACGTTGAAACCAGCTGTGTTTAGATAAGAGATAAGATTTCACGTAAACAATGCGATTTATATTCGAAACGAGATTTGTTAAAACTAAAATATATAAAAGAAGTATTACTAGTATTTCACTTAAGATTCCGTGTCTAGGGAAAATGTACATAATGTACGAAGCAGGCTATTTCATAATTTTCATACCTCAACGTCCTTGTGGGACTAACTAAAGGACAATACTGAAATTAAAATGAAGTCTTTCTTGCACTTTATTGAAATTTAACGTCTAGGATAGACCAAGGACGTATATAATCTAAATTGATATACGTCCTTGAATAGTTTTTATTTTCTTTAAAATTGCAATTTTCTTTGCTTAAATATTGCAACGTTATTTCCTTAATATCAAATGTCTATTAATTAATAGACACCGAGTGATGACAGATGCAGGCAGAGATAAGAAAAATTAATTTCTATTTATAGTTATCTTGGTCAGGGAACAGATTATCTAACTATATGTTCGGCCTGTAGTAATTAATGCTCTTCAAAATGTTCGTCAAAATAAAAAAAATAAATTATTATTTCATAAAGACGATCAGATGATGAATTTTCGGTTTTAATATACTAGTATTAAGTACGAAAATGTAAAATAGTGTGAGAAGATTTTGAGCCATCTCACTGATCAATAGGCTACACAGTGCCCCCAAATGACCAGTATAAAACTATCCAGCAAGAGAGAAAAAGGATAGCCGGGTCAATGTAAGAAACCTACTAGGCAACTTCAGTTCAATTTGAATATCTCGATTATTCTAATGGATTTGTCAAATGTCAGGGAATATCTTTTTAAATGTGGTAGGAAGACAACTCTCCATCAAAACACAGTGTAGTCAAAATTAGCAATTATAGTTATAATTCAGCCTTCAACACAAAAGCTTGGCTCACATTGGACAGCATCCTACCGAGGGCCGCAAAACACTGTAAAAAACAATTTAAACAGGAAAAAACAAACAGATCTAATTTAACTTCAAACCAGAAACAAAAAGCAAATATGAACTGCACCAAAAAAAGACAACCACTAAACAACATGCTTCGGACTTGGGACATGTGCTTATGAATACACCTGGTTTAAAAGAATTTACATACATACCATAAGACAGTAGTTTAATTTTACCATGTAAAAGACACCCTTTAATATTTAATGAAAACATCGTGTTCAGATAAAAACAAATCGTAAGGGTTCCGCGGAACCCAGTGTCTCGCCTACTTTTACTGTAAATCGCAGGCTCAACAAAAATGAGGAAAAACATCAATAAAAATATTCCTCTCAATACTATTTTTTGTTATTTTAAGAAGCTTCTGTCCAAGTTTGGTAAAAATCCAGGATAGTTTATATATCTAAAAAATTTAACTTCAGACTGTATGTAATGTTAACTGGTAGAAAAGTCCATTTATAAGTAAAATACAGATAAACAGGTACAAAATTTTAACAAAAAAATTCCTTCTAGATACTAGCTTTTAATCATAAATAAGCTTCTGTCCAAGTTTGGTACAAATCCAGGATAGTATAAGAAAGTTATTAAAATTTAAAAAAAACTTTAACCTCGGAGTGAATGTATTGTATCCCAGCAGAAAACTATGTCCATTTATAAGTAAAATACGGAAAAAATGGAATTTCATTTTTACAAAATTTACTTCTGGATACTATCTTATGATCATAAACAAGCTTCTGTCCAAGTTTGGTACAAATCCAGGATAGTTTAAGAAAGTTATTAGAATTTTAAAAACTTTAACCACAGAGTGAATGTATTGTTTCCCAGCAGAAAAAAACTAAGTCCATTTGTAAGTAAAATACGGAAAAATGGAATTTTATTCTTACAAAATTTACTTCTGGATACTATCTTATGATCATAAACAAGCTTCTGTCCAAGTTTGGTACAAATCCAGAATAGTTTAAGAAAGTTATTAAAATTTCAAAAACTTTAACCACAGAGTGAATATTTGTGGACGCCACCGCCGACGACACCGACGGAATGTAGAATCGCTTTATCTCGCTTTTTCGACTAAAGTCGAAGGCTCGACAAAAAGGAACACCTTACAACAGTTCATAAATGTGACCTTTAAACAAACTCATATTTAGGTGATGGGTATACTGATCAGTGGTAATTTCATGTTAGTTTTTTTTTTTTTTTCAATTTTGTTTGTTTGTTTATAAGGACAAGGTGTAAGCTGTTTTGTCTAGGCTATAAATATCTTTTTTAATGAATTGGTTTCGGTCATCAAGGTGAAGAGGATACAGTGCGATTCAAATTGTATATATTTACTATTAAACTTGCAGGCCTTTCTTGACCCACAATTTAAAATATAAGAAAACATCAAAATAAAAAGGGACATCCGGAAAATATCTTCAAAGCGAGTTAAAGGTTTTAAAAGTGTTTGTTTTTAACAAAAGAGGTTTGTCATCTTAAAACTTTTAAGAGCATACACAAAGCACAAAACTTAAAATTGCCAATGCTTGCTACCCTAAGCATAACAAAACCTTGCAGAGCAGGTGTAAGGATCTTAGTAATGATCAATATCAAGCCATTGTTCAAATAACCATGAACAAATTCCAATAAAAACGGCTATTTTACAGGTTCACGTATTGCATTTCTTAAACACATATCATCATTAATTAATTAAATTTCTTCACATTTGCATTTGAACTTTAGCCTAAAAACTAACTCTAATTTAAAAACAAAAACCAGCATCTTAGAATGGAACATCAAGTGGGTGACTTTACATGATGTCTTTTGGGAGAGTGGGATAAAAAAATATTTTACCCCACATTAAACAGTATTTACTTTAAGTAAACAGTCACTGTCAGTTTCTAATTCTTATATAACAAAAATGATATAAAACAAAAAATCTTTTTTTTTAAACAATTATCTTATATCTAATGCCAAACAAGCATTTGGATTTACGATTGCATTTCTTTTTTTAAAGAAAGCAACTTATTTGAACATGCTGCTGATAATGGATCTCATGGATACTTACATTTTTCTAGCCTGTTGTACCTTTTTGGGTACAGCTCCGTGGGCTCCGTGATTTATAAAACAATAATCTTCTTCAAGTGTGAACTCTTTCTGACGCATATCCTTTCCAAATGAAGCCATTGTCACGAACTTCGCGTGCCGTCTGGTGTGAACACGTATTTGCTGTGTGTATTTTATTTTATTGTAATCTAAAAATAAATTTATCAATTATTAAAGAAAATATAAACAAGAACAGGAACTTGATCTTATCAGCAAATTTTTTTTTCTACTAGCTTATTTGAACGCCGTTTGTGGTACACGTATTTGATAATAAAAAATCTAAACAAGAACACAAATGGAACTTGATCTTGTCAGCAAAATATTTTTTTTCTACTAGCTTATTTGAACGCCGTTTGTGATACACGTATTTGATAATAAAACTAGCACATTTTAACTTGTGGGGGAGGGGGTGTTATAATATTATTCATTGATCAATTAACCAATTATTGTACTCAAGTTGAGCTAGACAATGTGCTGAATTCTAAAAACAAGAGTGCACACGCTGAAATGTCTCGCCTGTTTTAATTATGATTGAATCCATGTTGAAAGTCTGTAATATGAAGGTATCACATAAACTTAACATTATCAACGATCCATGAAAATGAAGTCACGGTCAGATGAACCGTGCCAGACAGACATATACACCTAACAATCATTCCATACACCAAATATAGTGGTCCTATCGCTTATAGTACCTGAAAAACAGACCAAACCACAAAATATTAACATTGACCATTGAACCATGAAAATGAAGTCCTGGTAATATGAACCCTCCAAGACAGACATGTACACCTTACAATAATTCCATACACCAAACATAGTTGACCTATAGTTTACAGTAACTGATAAAATGACATAAACACAAAAACCTATCATTGACCAATGATCCATGAGGATGAGGTCAAGGTCATATGAAACCTGCCAGACAGACATGCACACCTTACAATTATTCCATACAAAAATAAATATACTTTACCTATTGCTTATAGTATCTGAGAAATAGACCATGCCACAAAAACTATTAATTGTCCAATGAACCATGAAATTGAGGTCAAGGTCAGATGAAACCTTCCAGTCGGACATGTGCACCTTACAATCATTCCATACACCAAATATAGTTGACCTACTGCTTATAGTATCAGAGAAACGGACTTGATCACGTAACTTTAACCTTGATCTCTGGTCCTTGAAACGAGATCAAGGGCAGGTGAACCCTACCTGACAGACATGTAGACCAAACAGGGAACCCTTATACCAAATGTAGTTACTAGTATCCTATTACTCATAATAAGAGAGTATTTCACTTTTAGAAAAAACCGTATTTTTTTTTCAAGCAGTCACTGACCCATGAAAATGAGGCCAAGAACCATGGACATATGACAGACGAGAACTTCGTCACATTAGGTATCTGCATACAAGGTATGAAGCTTCCAGGTCTTCTTATTTCTGAAATATAAAGCTCTATACAAATAGTTTGTCTTTTGTCTAGGTACTGAACTATGCTTTTCAACTCTCTGCACTATACTTCCACATCATCTTATCAAACAGAAGTGGTCTTTATACTCAAATAGTACTTGTAAAATATGATTGTAAATTTATTTGCTACAACACGTTATTGCAATAAAGTTTATGGACAGGTTGTGTGTATTCCCATGGGTACCAATTGTTCTCCTTTAATAACAGACATGTGCCTGTTATGAATTCCAATTTTATTTTACCAAACTCAGTAAAGATACGCCTTAATTTCATTTAATAGAAAAATTAAATAAAACTTGAGGTTACCTTGATGATATTTATGGTTTGAATAAGCAAGAATTTCTTATTATACTGCGGAAATTTACTTAAGAAACTGACTTTAAATGATTGATTGTTGGTTGTTTAACGTCCAGTGGCAAATATTTCATGCATATTCAGAACGAGAACAAATTAATAATAAATACAATAGGTAGGTTCTGTAATAGAAGCGTCCGGGATTAAGGTCGGAGAAATTTAGACTGCCACGGGAAATGAGGGTATATTGGATAGGGAAAGAAATTTAGCCTAACAACAGGTCACCTACGGACCCTTCAAAGAGTTGTTGCTAGGGTTCTTAACGTGCAAAGAGCGTGGCACTCTCTTAAAACGAGGCATCCGATTTAACGTCCCCATTCTGACCGGACGAACTGACTTTAAATAAATCTTAAATGAATAGCCGATAATTGTCCTTTTCTTGATTTGGATATTTAGTTTCACACGGAAAGCTCTTTACTTTATATTTTTCGTTACTATTGTTAATTTTCTTTTTTTGGATGGGGATGTTCCTTTGGTCTCTTCTTACGGTGTATATATTTCCCGAAGCGTTCGTTTTGCCCGTTTCTGTAGTGACGTTATAGATTTAAGTATACATTATTCCTTATAATTTAATTTCTCAATTCCATTTTAAGTAAATCATCATAGTGAAAAAAGTTGATGACGTCACGGTCACATGACAAAATTATGTCTATGAGCGACAAAAAACTTTCAGCCAATCAGAAGACGTGTTACATCTAAAATTAAATCATTTATGTATAACACATAAGTTATTACATTTCAACATATTACTTAACACATGTACTAAATCATTTTATAGGCACAACTATTTGGTCTGGAAGTTTGCCTTTATCTGTAGATATCTTATTACAAACGGGATATCCCATCCTATGTGCTCGTAAATTCAAGTATGCTCCATGTAAACTTATTTTGAACAAAGGTTGTAGTAATATCTTTAAATATTGTGTTTATCCATAACTAAAATGTGTTGCTATCCAGTTTTCAAAACTTACATCTACTTCCTGTTGATACTTATATGTATGCATTGCACAGGTCGCGTGTTTCTCATAATGCTTATGACATTTACACCAAATCCACCAGAGCTAAACTGATTGATATTTCAGTCTGGGGAAAATATAGTTTATATATTAGTTAAAATTGCGCTTTATTCTTTCAGTAAGTGCAAGTACTCTTAGATCGGTATTTTGTTTCCTTTGTCTTTCTGTTAGTGATTTTGTGCGATATACCGATTTGATGAGTCAAACCATATCCAACTGATTTTTGCAGTCTGTACAAAAATAAGGAGATGTGGTATGTAGAACAATGAGACAATTATCCACCAGAATCCAAATGACATGGATGGAAGCAACTATAGATCACTGTACGGTCTACAACACAAAGCAGACCTTAGAGTCAGATACAAAACACTTCTACATGACAACAATTCAAACGAGAAAACCAACGGCTTGATTCAATACAAAACAATTAACAAAAAACAAACATGACGGACAGAAACCAATGGCAACCTCTGAATTTACAACCCTGAACATATAATTGTCTCCACCCCCTACCCAACCCACCTACCCCCCCCCCCCCCCCCCCTTGCACCTCCCGAAAACAATAAAACACACACACATTACAAAAAAAATGTATAGTATTTAAATATGGCTTATACGTGTATATATCACTATAGAGACATTAATTGTCGAAATCCGGATATGGTGTACAAATTTTTGCACCTCATGTTTGCGGTATACCATCTTTTCCGCAGGTTTATTGTTTTCTGTTTAGTAATAAATTATTATAAGATCCATTTTGTTACATCTCGTGATCCGTTTATTTGGCAATCGCCAATGGCAGTCAGCAGGGTTTAAGAACATCAGTTGTTCGACCTGCTAGTCAAATGCGTTTTGTTAAAATATACTTTTTCACTTTTTTGGTCTTTTGGAAAATGTTGTTTGTGCTGTATTTAGACCCCTCTGCCAAGAAATTTGTTTTGCATGCACACGTATAAAAATTGCGGTTTTTAAAATTTTAACAACTTTCTTAAACTATCTTGGATTTGTACCAAACTTGGACAGAAGCTTGTTTATGATTAAAAGCTAGTATCTAGAAGGAAATTTTGTTAAAATTTTGTTCCATTTTTTCCGTATTTTACTTATAAATGGACTTAGTTTTTCTTCCAGTTAACATTACATACAGTCTGCAGTTTAAGTTTTTAAAACATTTATTAGATTCATAAACTATCCTGGATTTTTACCAAACTTGGACAGAAGCTACTTACAATCAAAAGATAGTATAGAGAGGAATATTTTTATTAATTTTTTTCCCCTTTTATGTTGAGCCTGCGATTAACAGCAAAAGTAGGCGAGACACTGGGATCCGCGGAACCCTTACGAATTTTTTTATTAATTTACAACATGTCATTTTGTTATTTACATAATTAAAATCCGCTGAACTGAGCCATTTGTCTATTTTAGTTAATTATGTTTTGGAAAAATTCATATACAACTATAAATGAGGCGGAAGATACGACCAAGGAGACATTCAAAACTCATAATTCGAAGAGAAACTGACAACGCCATTGCGAAAAACGAAAGACGCCGAAAATGCAAAAAAGTCCACACAACACTACCTAAAAAGACTGAGCAACACAAACTTACCAAAAACTAAGGTGATCTCATATGCTCCGGAAGGGTAAGCAAATTCTGCTCCACTTTATCTATGCGTAAAAATGTAAACATCGTTGAGAACTAAACTTTACATTTCAATCCTCGAGACGATTTAGATCTTGACCTGCAGTAGAGGCAAAACCGAAACTGTGTGGACAACCGTAATACGTATGTTGTTAATAGTAGCAAATCATTTACCTTTAACGTGTTTGCCATTGACTATCGATAACGATTATTTTACGCACACCCAGTCTGTCAGAAGCCTTCCAGTAGGGATGTCAATGATCACTTGTTTCACATTTCGATACATAAAATAAAACTTTCTTTCAACAAATTTTAAAAGGAATTTGTTTTAAATATTCTTTTTTTCATCACACCCAACTGTTTAAAAAAAACTTCAATTTTATGGGATTATTTCACAAAAATATTACGGATAAAAACTACTCCCACGTTGTGAAAATTTAAGAGTAACCTACCATTTATTCAATGGATAAGATTTCTTTGTTGTCAATTTGTTCTCATCCTGAACATGCACGAAATATTTGACACTGGACGTTAATCATCCAACAATAAATCATCTAAAATTGACCGTTTTTTTAATTTTAAAATTGTAAAGAAACTAAGGTTTCAACTCCCTCAGGCAAAGTAGAACCTTAGATGGAATTGGATATTTTTTAGATCCCT